ATAGTAAAAATAAAGGCCAAAGAAATTTATCTAATCACATCTTTGTGGCATATTCCTAAAATGAATGGTAAACAGAAACATGAATGGTTCATGCAGCTTTGCAAAGGAAAAAATGCAGTTCCTAAAATACAATTCAATAACTAAATAGATTTAACACTCAACTATTAAAAATAATGATAAAAATGAATCAGGATATAACCTAAGGGTACAATACAAATGAAATTGTATTGTTCCTATAATCAGCAAGGTAATAATACTATAATGCTTTCCTTTTGAGAGTCGGGTAGATAGTGACATAAAGCAATCACAACTAAAGCTCCATCAACCACACAACATTTGCAAGTAACACTAAATAAATTCTAATGACAGATGCATAATTTCCTTATCATTCAGTTTTAGTTTTAGGAGGGTTGTGGAAAGGCGAAAATTTTAGCTGTCAAAAGTTGAAGAACTGATTATAGCTCTCATCCAAAATCAAAAGATATAATTATTTAATTAGTTCATAAAAGGCTAACTTCTAACCACCCATCAAACAAAAGCTATCAGGTAACACTTTTGACTTGAAGATGGCCTTGCATTAATTAGACTGAAAACTTCAATCAAAACCATGTTAACCATCAAACAATATAACAGGTATAAACTATTCAACCAAAATCTAACAGGATGCATAACAAAACCATGTTAACAATTAGTAGAATTAATCACTCAGAAAATGACAAAGGCCCATAATGGCATCCACACATATCGTGTTCTGTCCCAAAGGAGCCTTAAGAGCCAACTGATCAAAGGTTAAGCATTCACCACCTGCCTTCTTTATTCTTGCTCGAGTTGTCTCTGTAAACCTGAAAGCTGTAACTTTTAGGGGTGGAACTTCATGAAATATGAAAATAGATTAGAGATCTGATACAAGCACAAAATTTGCAGAAATGCGCTGGGAGAAAGAAAAAGAAGGAGAATAGTTTCACTTTACCTTTGAGTTGATTCACTTTGATTAAGTAAAAGAGTAGATAAAGTGAGAAGAATTTAGGGTTGGACAAAAAATGAAAACGATGAAAGAAAGTGATGACTGACGATGAAAACGATGAACGATGCGTAGCGTAGGGCAATTTTGATATTAGTATTTTTAATTAAAAAAAACATACAACCCGCGAGCTGGCCCGTTTGACCCGTGGGCTGGCTCGTTTTTGTCCGGGTTGGATCGAGTCGGGTTGGCAGCTCATTTATGCCAACCCAACTTGACTCATTTGTGACGGGTTACGAGCCAACCCGACGGGTTGGCTCGTTTTTGCCATCCCTATCTCCAACAATGGCCGCGGGTTTGTGGGGGATTTTTCTCCCAAATGAGTGAGTTTCAAGGCTTGTGGATGGTATGGTTGTGTTTGGATGGTCCTCTACTTAAAGTTTAATGACAAACTTTGTTGGATTTGAGTGAGTTTTGAGTGAGTTAGAAGAGAAAGAAAATTTAAACCAAACTTGTCCATGGAGGGGGAAGGAGCACGATTTTGATGAGAGAGAAGGGAGAAAAAGATGATGAATAGTGACCCATGCCATGTGTTTAAAGGTCACTTAAGTGGGGTGGATCTCATCGCCACCTCACGCGATTCAAATTAATTCAAATCTCCTGCCTATTTCACTAAACGTCCATAATTCCTAAATTATTTAGAAACTCTAATTTTTAACATTAACCATTTTCCTTTAATTGGCCTTGATCAGATGGATCCGGAGTTTTCCAGTCGTTCGGAGAAATCGCAGTTTTAAGCTGTTATGCGCGCTGTGGGCACGCTTCCCCAAACACTCTAATTTCCATCAATTTTCACCAGAAATCATATTTCCTAGTCCTATGTACCATTTATAACTTATATCCAAACCTAGAGCTCAAAATTTATTCGACACACTTTACGGTGCAACTGTACCACAATATTTTTACCCGATAAAAAACACTATTCATCAAATTTCCAGAAACTTGCTTGACCACTCAATTTTTCGTTCTGAATCCATTTCCAGGGTTAGTTTTCTTATTTGAGACCTTCTACTCAATTTTGCTTTCCTAGAGTTACGTGTTTGGCTAATTATCGTTTTATCCTTCCTTTGTATTTTAACCCTAATTTCAGGATTTTCATTAAACCTACCCTTTAATCCATATTTAATATATAAATATATGTTTTAGAAATGTTAGGTGTTATAGGATTAGAGGATTCTCTAAGAATCTTGAGTTTACTGAGATGTTGTTATCTCACCCTTTTTTGAGGAATTTCATGTCAGGTACCTAGGTTAGCAGTATGCAGTCTAAGGGCAAGGGCCCAACTACAGACTAGTGGATTGTGGCTGTTGTTATGTTGATTATGTGGCATGTATAGTGTTTTGACATGCCTAGTCAGCTTATTTTGAGACTGTGTTGTTGTATGTAATAATGCTCAGGATTATTTACTGTTTGAGCTTTTGGATTATTGATGTATGTATTACGAGTTATGTTAGATGCATGTGATGAGTACACAAAGACATGATGTATAAATTTATAAATTTGGGCATAGAGCCAATATGTATGTACTGCTCTATTTGGGGATTGCAGTCCGTGTGGGACTTGCAAGCTGTCTGTTATTTAACTGTGTTTATCAGGTGTGATTGTGCGAGATTCTTATATCCAAGTTGTCCGTTAAACAACCGTTATGCGGTCCGTGAGATGCTGGCAAGAATGACACTTGTTGTCATATCCGGTTAGTCAATGGCCACTAATACTGGCTAACGAGATTAATTAGTTGTTGCATATTTTAGATTTACGCTTTCGTAATATCTCATGTGAAAGTTTTTAGAAATATTTCCATAAAATGTTTTGGAAAAAGTTTATTCGTATTTTCACAAGACGTTTCTTTAAGTATTTAATCAAATCTTCCGCTGTGTACATTGTAATATCATGATGTTAACAACTGGAGTACTACGGGGTGTTACAAAGGCCCATTTCTCTTCGTCATGGATTTGAGAATTTGATCTGAAGCTAACGTTACAAGAAGAAATAAATTTTTGAACTGCTCCTCGAGAAGAAATTTCCCCAAGGGTTATCAAAAGGATGTCTTTGTGCACGCGAGCTGAGGAGAGAGAAAGGGTGGGAGGCAGTGGGAGAGAGAAAAGGGGTAAAATGGTTTGTTTTATCTTATGAATCTCCATCATCGGATGAGATTATAATCTAATGGTGTTGAGAAAGGTAGGCAAACTAGGCAAAAAAATGGATAGGCAAAATAACCTGTCGTATGTTTATTTTATTTTATTTTATTTTTCAATTCTAAAAGTGGTTAAGAATTATGGTAGATAATATCAATTTTATTTTCCAGAAAATGAACTGATAGTTCAGAAATAATAATTTAATAAATTAACTTATTTTTGTTTATTTCGTTTCCAGTGCACTATTTATTTTTGAGATTTTTCTATCGATTCATCTATTACTCAATTAATCCAGTTCTAAATGGACTGCAACAATTTCATACTAATTGATCCATAAGTTTGGTGATAAAATACTATTTATTAAATAAACATATTGTATAATGTGTTATCATTGGAACAAATGAAACATTTTCTCTCTAGGAATAAAAATAACGTGTTATCAAACATATTTTCTCCTCAAATTTTTTTTTGAACACAAATAAAAAAATTATTTTTCTCTAAAAACATGATGATTGTCATATGTACCCTGAATTTTCACATGTCAGTGTCAAGTTGGCGGCCCAACATTTTTTTATACCTAAAGTCACGTTTTAAAATGAAAAAAATTGGTAACATGTTGTTCTAGCTTAACCAATAGTCTCGAGTTCAAATTTCTAGAAGCGCAACTGTGTTAAAACTTGGTAAGGAGAGCTTTGCTGCACATGTTATCTTACATAGCTCGAATCAGACTAGATGAGTAATCAATGAATAGGTAAATTATATCTAAAAATATAAAAAAATTAAACACGATGTACTTTATCTCCTGCGCAACAAGTCACCTGAAAGAAGGAGAACGCGTCAACCTAGATCCAGACCCTCCTACAATCGTGATAGGAGAGAAGATTCCCCCAGGAATCGCAGAGCGCAAGCAAGTCCAGACCGTAGAGGAAGGCGCGAAGAAGTAGACGAAGATTCAGCCCCGGTGAAGCACGGAGTGATCAACATGATTTCAGGCGGGCTGAGTGGAGGAGGAGAGATTGCGAACGCCAGAAAGAAACACTTGAAGCAGTGTCTGGCGGTCGCTGGCAAAGTGATCAGCAAAGAAAAGCACAGTCCTAGTCCAACAAGGCCTCAAATTGTCTGGGACGCCAGCGATTTAGGCGACGTCCTCCCAGGACATGACGACCCGCTCGTCATTCAAGCTATAATCGCCAACTTCGGCGTTAATCGCGTTTTTATTGACCACGGCAGCTCAGCCGATATTTTGTTTTTACCATGCTTTAAAGCGTTAGGGTTCACTGTTGATAGTCTAACTCCTGTTACAGGTGAACTCTCAGGTTTCAACGCTACCACCACAAAGCCACTGGGAGTGATTACCTTGCGGCTCTCCCTTGGAACGCCGCCCACCTCACGATCCGCAGACATCAAGTTTTTGGTGCTCGACACCCCATCAGCTTACAACGCCATTCTTCGTAGAAGGATGTTTGCTGCCTTCGAGGCAAGCATTTCACACCCCCACTTGGCAATGAAGTTCGTTGCCCGAGACAACAAAGTCGCCACAGTGCGAGGAGACCAGACGATAGCCCGAAGCTGCTACAACATATCCTTACGGCCAATGGCCAAAGCTAGCTTCAGTGATGAAAGGGCGCTCAAGCCGGGGACGACGTCGCCATCAGAAAGAAATCTCGGCGAGAAGTCCAAAGAGCGTGACCAATGTTTTTTGGTAGAATTTGACGCTAGAGATGATCCGCGCGTGGAACATGACAGACCCACGCCGGATGGAGCATTGGAACATGTTGTCTTAGGAGATGCGGATCATCAAACAACAAACATCGGGGCCACCATCGAACCAGAGATGAAATACAAGTTAATCAAGTTGCTCAAGGAAAACAAAGATTTGTTTGCATGGAAGCCGTCTGACATGCCAGGTATCAATCCAAACGTTTGCTGCCACCGTTTGTCGGTGGATCCTAAAGCCAAGCCATTCGCCCAGAAAAAGAGGAAATTCGGTCCCGACCGCCAGAGGGTGATTGATGAAGAGGTCAAAAGGCTACACGCCGCCGGGTTCATCAGGGAAATCAAGTACACAACTTGGTTATCCAACCCAGTATTGGTAAAAAAGCCAAACGGCGCATGGCGAATGTGCGTTGACTACACTGACCTAAACAAAGTCTGTCCAAAGGATGCTTACCCTTTTCCCAGCATCGATCAGTTGGTTGACAACGTGTCCGGATTCAAAATGCTATCATTCATGGACGCATACTCTGGTTATAATCAGATCCCACTTCTTGAAGAAGACCAAGACAAAACGGCGTTCATCACTCAGAACGCCAATTACTGTTATACAATGATGCCCTTCGGTCTAAAAAATGCTGGGGCCACTTACCAAAGGATGATGAATGAAGTATTCAGAGACCTGATTGGCAATCGCATCGAAGTATACATCGATGACATGATCGCCAAATCAAGAACATCGGAACAACATTTGGTTGATCTACAAGGTGTTTTTGAAAGACTCAGAAAATTCAACATGCGCTTGAATCCAAGCAAATGCGCCTTCGGAGTTCCCGCGGGCAAATTCCTAGGCTTTATGCTCACTGAAAGAGGCATTGAAGTCAATCCTGATAAGTGCAAGGCAGTGATTGAAATGCGAAGCCCGCAAACAATCAAGGAAGTTCAGCACTCACAGGAAGGTTAGTAGCTCTCACTCGTTTTCTGGCCAATTCGGCTCACAAATCGCTCCCTCTTTTTGGCTTACTAAAAAAAGGAACCGCCTTTCGGTGGTCGGAAGAATGTGAGAACGCCTTCCAGGAATTCAAAAGGGCACTCTCTTGTCCACCAGTGCTCGCCAAACCAGACGATGGAGAAATGCTTTATTTGTATCTCGCCGTAGGTACCGAGGCAATCAGTGCAGCCCTTGTCAAAGAATCAATGGAAGGACAAAAGCTAGTATATTTCATCAGCAAGGTCCTACAAGGAGCAGAGCTTCGATACCAACAGGTGGAAAAGGTAGCTTTGACGCTTATCTTTGTCGCACGACGTTTAAGACCGTACTTCCAATGCCATCCAATCACCGTCAGGACCAACCAACCAATCCGCCAAGTCCTGCACAAGCCAGACTTGGCGGGAAGAATGATGTCGTGGGCGATCGAGTTGTCTGAGTATCAGATCACCTATGAGCCTAGAACTGCCATCAAAGCTCAAGCACTCACTGATTTCATTGCAGAAATGACGCAGCTCTCCCCGCCCAAGAACCAAGCCATGGGAACATCGTTATCAGAAATGTGGAAACTATTCGTAGATGGCTCATCAAATGCCAAAGGCTCCGGTGCTGGGATGATAATAGAAAATCCGGATGGCGTGGCTATCGAACATTCTTTATCGTTTGAATTCAGCACCACAAATAATCAAGCAGAATATGAGGCCATGATAGCTGGTCTGATCCAAGCAAAGGAAATGGGGGCCAATCGCCTCAAAGTCTTTAGTGACTCCCAGCTGGTGACATTTCAGATCTCCGGCGAGTACCAGGCCAAAGGACCACTGATGTGCAAATACTTAGAAAAAGTCAGAGAGCTAATCGAAAGTTTTGAGAGTGTTGAGGTGGAACATATCCGGCGTACTGAAAATACCCGGGCGGACATTCTGTCCAAACTGGCAAGCACTAAAAGCCCAGGCAACAATCGTTCTATAGTCCAGCAGAGTATGCCAAACCCGTGCGTAGTCATGTGTATCTCAGAGCAAGCCCCTGGAGCCACTGAAGAAACCTGGATCACGCCCATTGTCAATTATTTAGCTGAAGGGGCCGTACCTCCCAACCAAAAAGATGCTAGAAAGATAATTCGTAGAAGCGCCCACTTCTGCATAGTACAAGGGCGGTTGTACAAGCGAGGACTCTCAACCCCACTCTTGAAATGTTTAAATCCCACTGATGTTCCATACGTGTTAGAAGAAATCCATGAAGGAATCAACGACCATCACATGGGCGGTCACTCACTAGCAAAGAAGGCGTTGAGAGCTGGATTTTATTGGCCAACTATGGAGCGTGATGCTCACGAACACGTCAAAAAATGCGAAAAATGTCAGAGGTTCGCCGACATACATAGAGCGCCGCCAGAAGAGTTAACATCAATCACCACATCATGGCCTTTCTACAAGTGGGGCATCGACATTCTGGGTCCTTTCCCTATGGCAGCTGGGCGAATTCAGTGGCTGATAGTCGCTATCGACTATTTTACCAAGTGGGTAGAAGCAGAACCCTTGGCGACTATAACCTCTCAAAAAGCAAGACGGTTCTTCTGGAGAAGCATCGTGTACCGTTTCGGCATCCCCGGAGAAGTTATCACGGATAACGGCACTCAATTTACCGATGCCAAGTTCCGCGAATTAATGAGCAGCCTGCACATACGACACCACTTTGCTGCCGTAGAACACCCACAATCCAACGGTTTGGTTGAATCAGCCAATAAAATGCTGGGCAAAGGAATTAAAAAGAAGCTAGATGCACACAAAGGGGCATGGATTGACAATCTTGACAACGTCCTGTGGGGGTACAGGACAACCGCCCAGTCATCCACAAAAGAAACTCCGTTTAGGCTGACTTACGGCGCTGAAGCCATGATCCCAGTAGAAATCGGGGAACCCTCCTGGCGGCGAGAGCACGTAACCGAGATCGACAACACCCAGAATTTGAAAGAAGCATTAGACTTGCTGGACGAACTCAGAAGGTCTGCCGCCGAGTCTGATCTCCATTCTAAAGGAAAATCAGCTACTTACTACAATAAGAAGGTCATCCCCAGGAGTTTCCAAGAAAAAGATTTGGTGCTTCGCAGAGCAGACGTTGGAAATAAAAACGCCCGCGAAGGAAAGCTCGCCCCAACATGGGAAGGACCTTACAGGGTAACCAACAAATTAGGTCATGGAGCCTACTACCTAGAAACATTAGAAGGAAAGGCGCTGCCAAGGGCTTGGAACGCCGATAAGCTCAAAATGTATTATAGTTAAGTTATCATGTAACAACTCCTGCACTCTTTTCCTTTCCTAGGCTTTTGTCCCATAGGGTTTTGCTGGGAAAGGTTTTTAACGAGGCAGAGTTTTGAGCTTCAATAAAGATCGCCAGTTCAATTTAACACTATCAAATGCGACTACGGGACGGTTCTCACCCCCGCCATAGTTGGTCTGGGATGGTTCTCACCCCCAGCCAACGCCCAACTTACGGGACGGTTCTCACCCCCGCCATAGTTGGTCGGGATGGTCTCACCCCCAGCCAACGCCCAACTAGTTGCCATAGTCTAGGATGGTTCTCACCCCCAGCCAACGGCCAACGCCCAACTTACGGGACGGTTCTCACCCCCGCCATAGTTGGTCTGGGATGGTTCTCACCCCCAGCCAACGCCCAACTTACGGGACGGTTCTCACCCCCGCCATAGTTGGTCTGGGATGGTTCTCACCCCCAGCCAACGCCCAACTACGGGACGGTTGTCACCCCCGCCATAGTTGGTCTGGGATGGTTCTCACCCCCATTCAACGCCCAACTACGGGACGGTTCTCACCCCCGCCATAGTTGGTCTTCGGGGGTCTTCACCCTAGCCGACGCCCAACAAGCGAGATGGTTCTCACCCTCGCCGCAGTTGGACTGGGACGTCCTCACCCCCAGCCAACGCCTAGCAAGCAAGATGGTTCCCACCATCGCCGCAGTTGGACTGGCATGATCCTCACCCCCAACCAACGCTCGTACAATCAAGCTTAATTCACTGAAGAAGAGGCAAGAAAAATAAAGCGGCTCTTTAGACAAAGCGTGAAAAATGACAAAGGTAAAGGAAATCCACTCGTTGATATTAATAGTCTCTACAACATAAGGCCGCTGTTGACATACCAACGACGCCAGACGCCAGAGCATCTTAAACATCTCGATCCTGAACGGACGGGTCCCCTTCAACTACTGGGGCAACCGCCTCCGACGCCTGAACCGTTTCATCCTGCCTAGCAGTACCAACAGGATCGCCTGACGTTACACGCCCAACGTCATCTCGCGTATGATCACTGTCCGTGTCAGTCATTGGAAGCACGCCGCGAGCTCCTTCATCGTCATCAGTCTCTGGCGACGTTTCATTCACCTTCACCCCACCACCTTCAAGGCGCTCTACAATCTGGCCATCCTCTACATCATAAGACGGATCCAGGCCAGTCAAATTGACACCAGCATACCTCACGGCAACCTGCTTGAGGGCGTTGTTGAAAGAATCATACATCAGATCTGCCAGAGCCTCTTCCAGCTTCCCCACTTGCGCAATAGCCTTCTTATAGTCGTCATCCCTGGCGTGAAGGCTCCCGTGCGCGGAAAATAAATCTGAAGAGAGTTGATCTCGCTCTGCTGAAAGAGTCTCATTTTCCTTCTTCAAATGCTCCACTAACAGACTCAGGTTGTTTTTATCGGCGGTCAATTGTTTCACCGCATCCTCTGCCGTTTTTAATTGCGCTATCAACGATTTTGAAGAAGCTTTCCCGTCAACAAATTCTTTGCCAAGGCGCCCTACGTCAGCAGTCAAGCTATTCACCTGCCCCCCCCAAGTCAACAATAAGATCCTCTTGTCGGGTGCATCGTTCCTCAAAATCCATGGTAATCTCCTGTTGGCCCAGGAGGCGAACAATTATTACTTGGGTGCAGTCCATGTATTGCTGGCGGTCGAAACGCGGGGGCATTATCATCTTGGAACGCCTGATGTTGGGGAAGCCGTCGGCGAGGTCCCTCTCTGACAACCTGAGCGCCCTGCTCACAAGGATTTCTGGAAGAGGGGGTGAACCTACAGCTTCAGATGGCTCAACAGGGTGGTCACCTCCCCCAGCCGGATCGCCCTCAGAGGCACCATCCCGGGTCAGACCGTCCCCAGAACGCTCAGAGCACCCTGCCTGGGAAGATCTTGGTGGTGTTAAGCTCGCTGTCGCGCCTTGTAACCCATAACCAAGTGCTGATTCACTTGCAGAAGAGTGGCCAGTCACGCCAGTGGGCTCTCTAATAATAGGGCGGTTAGCCCGCTTCTCAAGTTCACCAGCAGGGATGTCAGCAGCAGATCGAACTTTCTTCTTTTTCTGGCGGACCTCTACGGCTTTACCCTTGTCCAGACTTTTCTTTTTTGAGGGAAAGATGGTCTGAGTCTGAGGCGCCACGCCCTGCTTGGCCCTCACTTTAGCGGTGGTATCACGCGCAAGTTTCAACGCATCGGTTGCCATGTTTCCAACTACAAACAATAAGATATGAGTCAGTATAAACACAAGGAAGGGTAAACACAAGAAGTCTCAGAATATATCGCCACAAAGTTAAAAAAAAAGGAAAATTTTGAACGCCACCACACCTCCATGACACAACACTTGCTTCGTGGGCCAACTGGCAAGACCCCCATTGACCTCCAAAAACCAACCGATCGCCCTTACCTCCCCAGGAGACAAGACCCTTAGAGCAAACGAGTACTGACCGGCCGGCGTTTCATAATGAGCCTTAGTCCAGTACAGGGGAAACCGGCACTCCCCACTCGACGGATCAACAAAGAAAGGGAGCTCGCCCTCGCTTAGCACTGGTTCAATCCAAAAGAAGGTACGCGTCCAATTTTTGTAAGAGTTGGCATACTGGGCGAATATTGATCCAATCGATTTGCCCACCTTCAAAGAAACCCAACCAAGCTTCGTCTTCTTGGATGGCGACAC